CACTTGGGACTTTTGACTGTTACATGCCAAGTTGTAGTTGGATACCGAAACAGAAAGCAAGGCAACTCACTCTGATACATTGTGGCTGCTTACAGGAGGGTTTTTTTTAAGTGCTTTTCTTTAAACTCAAGCACTCCCATGCTGGGCCCAGCACATGTCCAAAAGAGACATCATATTAGTTGGACCTGGCTTGCCCAACATTTGTATAGATTGGGCGCTTCAGTGGGACGTTTTTGGGGCTTTTATCTAATAGCTGATTGAATCGGCTATTAGATAAGAATGCCAAAAAAAGTCCCACCTAAGCGCCCGATCTATACAGATGCTGTGGAGCCGGGTAGAACTAATGCACTGCTTCTTCCAGTAAAGATTGGGTTTGAGGGGTTTTTTTTAACATCTGTAATGAGCCTATAGTACCACCCCCCCTTCCACACATCTGTGCCAAAATGGCAAGGAGGAGAAAGCTGCCTGATTAGAATGAGGAGGAGATAAAAACAGGATCTACGTTTGTGGAATTGAGGGAAGGAGCTGTAGTGTTTTGAGACAAGGAGATTGAGCTGAGAAGTGCACCTAGAACTGTAGTCCTGCAGAGGGAGAGAGAAACTTAGATTCAGAGTTTAGATGGGGAAGGTCACTGCTTGCTGAGCAAAAGACTGGGCGTAGGATGGGGAGGAAGACTGGACTGAGAGCAGAGGGGCCTTGATTCAGAGGGCATAGAGCACAAGTGGTCAAGCTGGTGGAGGCAAGAATGAGTAAAAGGACTGTGCTTACTAGATCATGTGCTTCTCCAGCATCTGAAACTACAATTTCCAAATCTTTCTGTACCTCTGCTGGCAGGGGCACAGCTGGAGGGAGGCAGAGTGCTCCATTCAGATTTTTGTCTCAGACCCCTATGGCGCTAATCCACAGAGGGTGACCACTCACTATTCCTAGCAGTTACTCCAGCAGCTGAAATGACAGACATTTGTGTGGTGGGTTTGCAGGTCCTAGCCCTGCTCATGAATTGTGGGGGTGCCATCATGTTGGGACAAGAAGAAATTTATGTTTTTCAGAGGTTTTTCTTTTCCTTAACTAAGAAAGTAGCAAACATTATGTATAAAGGATATTATTAAGGTCACAAAGGTAAGTACTCAAACTTTAGGAAATTTAAGAAGCTTGCCTGGGCAAGCGAGGTCCAACTAATTTGGCTCAATTTTATTTTAATCTAAAATTAAATAATCACAGAATATATTTTCCATCCTGCACCAGGCTTGATTCAGGGATGTGTGTTGAAGGAGGCAGTTGTCTATAGGTTCTCTGGTTCCTTCACTGCAGATATTGAAAGCTATAGAGTGAATGGGACTTGGTGTTCCAGAAAGGGAATAAACTGTCTTCCCATTTAAAGCAGCTGAATGCTGCTCAGAAGAATTCAATTCTATGCCTGCATCTGCCACAGAGATCTTCTGCAGTGTTCAGCAAGTAATATAAAATCTGGTTTTCATAGATGGTCCCTGCTTCGGATGCATAGGTGGATAGGAAATATATAGTGTATGGTTTTTATATAATATCTAAGACATTACTTTGATGTGAGGACTTTTGGAGTCAAAGATGACACCTGGTTACAGGTCTGAGTGACAGGATGACAATGACATTGTCCGCATTTATCCAGGTAAAGGGATGCAAGACGGAAGATTATGAACTCTTGTAGCCACTTCGATCTTGAGCTGATATCCGTGAGAAGATGTTGCAAAGATTTCCAAAGACTAGTTTGGACAGGAGACGGGTCCAGAGACGTCAATCTGTTAGAGATGATAGTTGAACTTAATTAGGGAATGACATTGCTCAAGGGTAAGGCACAGTGTTGAAAAGAAGAATTGTGAGTGAAGAGAGAAATAAATGCTGTCAATTGTTAATTAAGGGAGCACCGTTTAACCTGTGCACTGAATGAGGTGGAGTGTTGTGGACGTGCAGGGTATGACCATGCTGTTAAAAACTGTAGCTTCCCCTTTTACATGTGCATTACAATACACAGTTCCATTAAGGCAAGCTTAATTCTGGTGTATCCTGATTTTTTTTTTTTTGAATGCCCGAGTTCAGCTTTAATAACATTCTCTTTGTTCAGTTCTTCTGCTCATGGATATATAAACTATTATTTAGTGAGACTATTCATAGAGTAAGGCACTGTTCCACTCGCATAAAGGTTTCAGTAGATTGGCTAGATATTAAATGAAATGCCCAAACCTGAGACAGTCTCTACAGAGCATCTACAGTTTTTCCAGGGGAAACTGGTTGTGTAATGAAAACATGTCAGATCTGTAACAGAATTTTTAGGTGGCTGGTTGTTCTTGTAATTGATCTAGTTCATAAGCAGCTGATCTTAACTTGTATTCGCATTCATTTTTTGTTAGATGTGGGTTGGGCTTTTGCTATCTTTTCTTATAGGGATCCCTATGGAAACAGTCTCTACACTTATCTCTCACAGCTGTCCCAGGGCTTTATATTAAATAGGAGGCTACAATATAATCTTTATGAAATCAAAGACGCCCTTATCAGGCTGGCTTTATAGATGTTTTCTCTTCCAGATCAAAGTGGTGGGGCGGTTAAATGCAATAAAGCTGGAAGTAGATAAAAACCTGCCATGGAGATTTAGCAGCAGCTTTTTTCTGTACAAAAGCCCTAATACTGTATTAAAAAAATATTATATGAAACTTAACTGAAGCGCAGGTTTGTATGCAGAGGGTTAGGGCTAAAGAAGTTCAAAACTGAAGTCTTAATTAGACCAGCAGTAACCTGTACTCCACCAGGAGACATTACTGTAAAGTGTGGTCTGGGTTACTAATGTCATCCATGAGATTTCAGGTGTTCTTTTGTGAAAGGTTTGTAGTTTGATTTAGGAATTTAAATATTTTAAAGGTAAAGGAAGAGGTTCTCTAAATTTGTAGGGACCCGCACACACTTCCCTCATGGTGTGCAGCCCCCACTGCCTGGCAGCAGCAGCAGGTAGGGAGGTCAGGACACTTGTGCCCAGTACAGGCATGGCTCCAACCAGCACTGAATGGGGGGAGGGAGCATACTGAGGGAGAGAGCTTGCCTTATCACCGGGACTCTGCTCCCCGCACCTGCAGCTCCAGCGGACGCAGCAGGGGAAGCCCCGCACTGGAGCCTGCCGTCTCCCCGACTCTCAGCTGCACAGGTCCCCACGCTCCGCCGAGCGTGGAAGGAGCCCAGCCCGGGGCTTCCCCTCTGCAAGTGTGGAGCTGCAGGCACGCGGTGTAGGGCCCTGGGGAAGCAGCCACCCCAGCAGCCAGTCAGCAACCGGGGGGGTCCTCCTGTGGCCGATTTGCGCTGCTGGCATTTCCAGGCCGGCACGATCGGCCACGAGGGAAACCTTCCCCCCTCCCCCGCGGTCAGTGCGATCAGCTTCTCTTGGTGCCCCCACTCCCCAGCTGGCACTTTCTGGGGGGCACCAGCACTCTTGCCTGCCCTCCCCACCTGTCGCCTAAGTGGGGAATGCTGCTGTCAGGGGGTGCACATGCACCCCCTACACGTTGCCACTGGCAGCATCCCATAGAGCCCTCCCTCCCCACCCTGCAGTGATGGGGGAGAAGCAGGGGGAAGAGTCCCCCTCTGGGCCCAGGCCGTCTCACAGAGCCCTGCTCCCCACCCCATGGTGGCAGGGGGAGGAGGAGGGAGAAGGGCTCCCCCAGCACTGAACAGGGCCCCACTCCTAACCCTGCAGTGGTGAAGGAGGAGGGGGAGGGTCCCCCTCTGGGGCCTGGCAGCCCTGTGTGCCGGGATTGCTTCCGACTGTGAGGGAGCACTGGGGCCTGGTCATGACCCCCTCCTCAGCTCAGCTTCCCTGCAGAAGGGAGGGCTGCTCTAGCACCTCCAGGCTGCTGGCTTGAGCCACTGCAAGCATGTGCCTGCATTTCCTGAATAGAAAGGGAACATCTATCCACTTGGAAACTGATTCACTCTCTGCCGGTTAGACTAACCTGCAAAGATTGTATCAATTCAGGCTCAGGCTTTTTGAATGTCTGTCCCTAGCCTAGGAGTTGAAAGTGAATGATTCTGCCCCAGTGAATCAGTGGCCCTATTTGCCAACTGACTAAGTATGGCCAGGTGGCTTGGCAAGTACTGCAGGCTCATGCAATATCCGTCGAATTTAGTAGGCAGTGGATCAGTTGTCTGTGAGAGAGTATTGCATAGACAGGCTCACATAATACCTTGAGGTATGCAATATAACAGTTAAAAGTGCATTCACTGGGAGCCTGGTTAATTATAGCTGCTGTACTGTTACCCAGCAATTGCGGGGGGGGGGCAGTTATTTTATCTTATTTTATTTTCTTAGAGCAACATTCTTAGATATGAAAGAAACTGCACAGCTTTGAGAGGAGGAACACAGTCTAAGCCTTTTTTTTTCCTTTCCTTTTTTAAACAGATTAGTGGAGTTGTCCTGGGGCTGTATTGAAAATAATTCTATTACACAGCACAAGAACAAAATAGGCACCTGATGTGTGGAAAATTAGTTTTCCTCTTTGAGGTTTTGCCTCATAGGGTAAAAAATTAAAGCAACAGCAGGCTGTATCTCTCGCACACAGATTCAAAGGGAAAGCACTTTCTTTGTACCTGACTCTCAGTATGTCAGGGTAATATGTTTGATGTTAAATAACAACTATTAGCAATTCTTAATTTAAAGTCACTTCCAGCAGTGGTTTCCTTAAGGTCTTCTGAGTACTCATGCTTGCCTCAGATTCAGGGAAGGTTAGTACACGTTCTTCTACCCCCACTTTTCTCAAAACAAAAGTCAGCTCAAGCAGTGGTTTAATAATTAAGCACAATAAGTGCTATTTGAGGCTTCCCTTGTGGCTATCTGTATGCAAAAGAGTTTGGAGATAGCCTTCACAAAAGCCTTTTAATTGAAATAGCCAATGTCACAAGTCACACGCCCGTACTTAATGTTGTGTTTCTTCCTTTCACAGGCGCTTAAATACTTTAAACAAATGTGCAGTGATGAAGCTAGAAATCAGTCCACACAGAAAAAGGGTAAGTATTGTTTAACACCCTATATTATAAGGCAATAATAAAGATTGGCTGGTTGTTCACATAATCTACCTGAATGCAAGCTCCCTGGACAAGACCTGGCATTTTCATAGCAGCAAAGCACTCCTTAAACTTGACTTTTTTTTTCTTTTTCATAGAGTAAGGACTGCAGAGTCTGACCCTGTATGTAAAAAAAAATTTGTGCAGCTAAAATTTTACAGGCTCTGGGCTCAGTTCTGAAAGACGCCAAGCACTGTCAACTGCTGTTGTCATGTTACTGGGTTTGCTGACATGATGCATTGTCTTGTTTTCAAACATGATTATGACCAATAGAGGTAGCTGACATTTTCATAGACATTAGACATTAGGGCTGGAAGGGACCTTGGAAGATCATCGAGTCCAGCCCCCTGCCCAAAGGGCAGGAAGTCAGCTGGGGTCATAGGATCCCAGCAAGATAAGCATCCAGTTTGCTCTTGAAGGTGTTCAATGAAGGCGCTTGAACCACCTTTGGCGGCAGGCTGTTCCAGACCTTGGGGGCTCGGACAGTAAAGAAACTCTTCCTTATGTCCAGCCTGAAACGGTCTTGTAGTATTTTATGACCATTCGACCTAGTCGTCATCCCTTGGGGCGCTCTGGTGAACAAACGTTCCCCCAGATACTGGTGGTCACCCTTGATAAACTTATAGGTGGCCATCAGATCACCCCTGAGCCTGCACTTTTCCAGGCTAAAGAGCCCCAGGGCTCTCAGCCTGTCATCGTAGGGTCTGCTTCCCTGACCTCTGATCATGCGCGTGGCTCTTCTCTGGATTCTCTCAAGCTTTTCCACATGCTTTTTGAATTGTGGAGCCCAAAACTGGACGCAGTACTCCAGCTGTGGCCTAACCAAGGCCGAGTACAAGTGGGGAATGACGTCCCGGGATTTGCTTGAGAAGCATCTATGGATGCAAGCCAGCGTTTTGGTCGCTTTACTAACTGCAGCATCGCACTGCAGGCTCATGTTCATCTTGTGGTCAATGATGACCCCCAAGTCTCTTTCTTCCACAGTGCTAGCCAACATAGCACTGCCAAGCTTATAAGGATGCTGCGGGTTTTTCTTCCCAAGGTGGAGAACCTTGCATTTATCTGGTTGAACACCATCAGATTCTCCCAGATCCTGACCAGTTTGTACTGAAAGCATGCTCAGTGTCATCTGGGCTAACTTGAGTCTTTTCAGCCACACTGGGATACTGCGCTGTTTTCTAATGTAAAGAACTCAGTGGGAGTTTCTTGGTCTTTCAAAAAGGGGGCCCAGCAGTTTGCAAGATTGGACCTACTCCTTCTTTGTTTTTAATTGTTTAAAATACTAATCGGAAGTAATGCAAAGCCTCAACTAACCCTTGAAAAATAGCTTGATTTCCCTATCATTGTTACAGTGGAGCTTGTAGAATTTCTTTGTGGTTCACCAAAATTTTCTTCATTGTAAAGTAAGCCAATGGACTCAGTAAGATAGGATTTAGGAAAAGCTCAGTTGTGCTTGCTTGGTTTTCAGGTGCGAGGTAAAAATAAAGGTGGTAAGACTGTAAAAATGTTGTAAACCTAACAAGGTTACTGGCAAAGGTAGTATGACAAAGTTCCTGTCCAAAGTTTTAGTCATTTCTCTGCAGTCCCCCTTGAAAAGCTGGCTAGCAGTCTGAAAGCATGTCGGCATGCTGAGAAGGCACAGCAGTAGATCCAAGTCCGAAAAGTCAACAGTAGTCAATGATGTTCCCCTGAAAGGGCAATTGCAGATAAAGATGACTAAAGGTATGGAATACAATGCTTAACAAAAATGCATACAAAAGCCCTAAGGTCATTCACTAGCTCTACATTTTTCCCCCTCTATCAGTAACTGCTGTGTAGCAACCAAGATCCTTCTGAGATATCATATATACAAAGTGTGTGTGTCTCTTAAAAAAATAAATAAAATAAATAAAAGGTGGAGTCGGGGCATAGATCACAGGATTGTAGTTTTACAACTGCCAAAAGATTCCTATTTCTCAAGATCAGGTCTCTCTCTGGTTTCTTAACATCAGAATGAGCAATATTTTTATTAAAGATGGGCCTACTTCCAACTTTGGATCAGAAGCCAAAATTCTTCAGAGTCTGGATCACAGGTTTTGGTTTGGACACATTTCTGGTTTTCAGTCAAGTGTTCCAATATGTGGAATTATTGTGACTAAATTCTGGTTTTTGACTTTGCTGAGATCAAAAATGAATGGAACCTTGTTTTCAGCA